GTTCTCGCTGCTTTTCTTTCCACACTGAGCCATGCCTTCTTGCACCTCTCATATCTGACTCTCTGCGTCAGCGTGAGGACAGCGCTGACCTTAACGCTGACACTTCAGAGACCTGCGCTGTATCTGTGTTTCAGTCAGTATAGTATCTTATATGCGGTTGGTCTGATGGGATACACCAACACCAGCAGTCGCTGACTTCAGAGAACTGTGCTGAGTTCACTATACTTCCCTTTGACAGATGTGTTATTCCAGGTGTCTGCCCTCAAACAAACACAATACGGTTTGTTTTTACATCATGCCACTGGCCTGGACAGCAGTTTTTTGAAGTATTTTTATAGCCTTTGATCCATGTCTTTAGAAACGGGCCTGCTGCTGTTATCTCTGGTAAACAGTGTGTTTCTTCTGTCACTGTTACCTTGTAAAATATAGTAGGAATGTCAACAAGAAACTGCCGGCTGGTGCGCCTCTCTCACATATCCATGAAGCATTTCTTTCTGTGCTGCTATGCTGCCCTTGGTTTTGAAAATCTGACTGCCATGAACATGAGACCAATAATTGCTAGTCATAGATTGTCATATTAATTCATATATTAGAAATTTTCAGGTGTCAGACCAAAAAAAAGTGCTGAAGTTCTTGTTAAAGGGACAGTTCGTTCTCAAATAAAAAATACTTTTTCTTTCTCTGCCTTGTCTCCAGTATAATGAAACTAGATGGCACTCGAGTTGTGGTACTCAAAGCACCAAAAAAAAACTCAACAGCAATGTCTCTTTTCAGAAATCAAGACCCAGTTACTCAAGATAATCCACAGACCTTGTTGTGAGCAGGTTCATGTAGAGACTATTTTCTTTCTACCAAACAACACCCACAAACCGTATCACCACGCAGAGGGAAGGGTGCATCTACTGCTTATTCACCTAGCACCACTGAGCTAGATAATGTTACAGCTAGTAATGTCCTGCTACGATTTCAAAGATCGGTATCGGGGCTGATAGAGACATTTTGGTTTAAATGATCAGGATCGGATATACTGAGCTGTACAGATCCTGATCTGATCCTTTGTTATACATCAGCTGTCTGGCAAACATTATGGCAGTCAAAAGTGCTATATTGTAGGCAACTGGACTTGCTTGAGCGTCTTAGACGTTTCACCTCTCATCCAAGAGGCTTCTTCAGAGGCAAAACATCTTCAGAAAACTCAAGCAAGTCCAGTTGCCTGTGATATAGCACTTATAATTACCATGACCTGGATGACTGAGAATCTTCCCCGACATATTTTACTGGTGAAGCTTTATTGCACAGCGACGCAAGAAGTGCAGCCATGATCAACTCACAAATTCTCCAAAAGATTAAAAGGAGGTTGGTTATTTTATACTTTGCTTTTTTGCAAAATAAATAAATAATTGAATTAAAAAAAAAAAAAGGAACAATTGAAATGCTTCCTTCTGCGCAATGATCTGGTTGGTGGGTGTTGTTCAGTTGAAAGAAAATAGTTCCTACATGAAACTGCTCACAACAAGGTCTGTGGATTATCTTGAGTAAGTTCAGGTGTATTTTCTTGGCACTTTGAGCCCTACAAGTTGAGTGCCATCTAATTCCATTATATCAGAGAGAAGGCAGACATCTCCAACACTCAGCAACTCACACCAAAATAATCTAGACTGATAAATAGCACAACAGGTAAGACAGAAGACATGCATTTTTGATTTAGGGTTGAACTGTACCTTTAGGTCTCTGATGGCGAGTGGTGGGCTATAGAATAACAACTTATTTTTCATAAATGGTTTCCCACATGAAAGATGCTTTGTAATCAACACTGACAAAATTTGTCCAAATATTAGAGGATCTAAAACAAAGTACAAAAGTTTCGACATAAGGTCACATTAGCAGAATCTGCACCACAATAGGCTTTAAAACCCACAGTAAACATCAGGGCTTTGCTTATCACAGGTTTTAAAGCACTGAGAAGCCGTAAGTAGCGCCAAGGTTGGGTCGTATGAGGTTACTTAAACACTTTTACAACACCTCTTGGACATAAGGAGTCTTTTGGCACCCACTTATAAACTGTATATTCTCTATGAGCTGGTTGCCATGCTGATAAATAGAAATATTTAGCACAATGTGCATTAAAGGCACGATCCTCGATCCTCTACTGTCACATCACGACAGCATCCACATTCCAATGACAGAGGTTCATAAAAACAGTTTGATGTCATCCAGTCCCACACCTACTCTGCACATTGCACAAGTCATCTTCCTTTCTTATAAATTCAGACAGAAAGGCAGAGCAGCGTTTTTAGGTTGTGTCTAGATGGTAATCCCAGATATGCAAAAACTAAAGGGAGATTTAATGTTTCATGTTTCAAGTGGTCATTTTAACCCAAACCATGATCTGTCCCTGACTCTGATCCTGACCAAGAGCTTTTTGTGCCTGAACATAACCAGACCTTAACCACAGCAGTGTCACGCCGTAAAACGGCAAGACAAGAATATATTTCGAAGTGGGAAGTGAGAGTTTTGCAGTAACCATGTAGCCACAACTGTGGTTTTGGACTTGGTACAAACAAACTGGACTGTACCGCCAACTACCAGCTATATAATAATAAAAAGTTGACTGTCTCAATCCCCTGCTGTCACATCACAGTAGCATCCACATTCCAGTGGCAGAGATTCATAAAAACAGTTTGATGTCATCTCCTTTCCTCTGAATTCCCACACCTAGTCACTAGCTTCTTGTTGACATCTATTTTTGAAGGAAAAAACTCCTATCTTGTGTGTGCTCTTGCACTTCTTTTATCACTTCTCATCTGCTTTGTTGACTAGATGTAGTTTTGAGACCAGACGGGCTTGTTGGGGATTCCTTTGGGTGAATTGTCTTGTTATGTGTGACCCCATGATGCTGATCACTCATGTGTAATATGCAAATAACAACAATTTCAAGATGCTGAATTATAAGACAGTCATGTGATGGGATCAGTATGTCAGTCTGAACATGTTTAGTGTGTAGGTGCCATAACGTTGGCTACTGCAAACAACATCAGATAACATTTGACTCGTTTGCTTTTATATTCTATGAACCAACCCACACTGGCGCCGGCCGACGCGCCGTGCCGCTCTGCTTCAGCCCACTGCTCTATTTCCAACGCGGCCCGGCGCTCATGGCAGCGCTGCGAGAAAAGCTTTTTATGTACGTCTTGTCTCGTAGGATCAACTCCGGTTGTTTCAAATTTTTAATAAGATGACTTTGATAAGAAACTCGCCCGTGAAATTCAAGTTGTTGTTGCCTCAAAGTTTTTCCTCTTCTTCTTCTGTTACTAGCAGTTGGCAACTGTTGGCAACTAGTGTAGGTACAGCCACCTAGAAGGCTGGGGTGGGAAATACATGTTGACGGTGCCGCTGCGCGCCGCTGCCAGTGTGTGTTGGGGGGCGGCCCTTGACGGCCACAGCGCCGCGCCGGCAGCGGTGTGTGTTGCACTTTACTGCATCTTTTTTTTTTCAGTCATTGCTCAATAACCACTGCGTCACCTGTCCTTAGCTCAGTGGCTATTTTCCTGTGAAGTAAACTCATAGGAAAATACCTTAAATCTGCATATAGAAGGACAGACTGAGAGCACCTGGGGACTGGACACAAAGAAATGGACATCTGTGTGGGTATAAGGGGGCTTTCACACCTGAAAGTCCGGACCAAAAGACCTAGGTGTGAAAAGGCCCTAAGAGACCCTTAGAAAGAGGAGAAATCACAGGGAGTACCACCATCTGGTCCAGGAGCTTCACTGGATGATGGTTGGCTCAAGGCTTATTTTAGGATAGTTGCGGACAGTTTGACAACCTGCTGTCAGTCGTTGGGCCTAATGATGGTTGGTAAAATGTTCAAAGGAAGTGCTGACTACAGCTTCTTCAAATTTGTCTTGCAGCTTGCGTAGAAGGGTGCAAATGATAGTGAGCTAATGTTAGTTTTAGGCCCCAATCACACTACAAGCGTTTTGCAGGTTAATTGAATACCACTAGTACCACAAGGGTGAGAGGCTGTCAGCAGATAAACGGTGATCTGTGTGGGTACATGAGACCCTAAAAAAGAGGATGGATCATGGGGAGTACCACCAGCTGGTCCAGGAGCTTCTCCCCGATGATAGCTTCCAGGCATATTTAAGGATGACTCCAGGGCAGTTGGACAACCTGCTGTCTATCGTTGGACCGTATAGCTCTGGGTATCCAGCAACCACTACCACCAGTTTCTCCTCCATTGTTTACCAACTGTAAACTTGTTGTCGTGACCACCACAGAAGGCCCGCCTCTCAAATGATCTGATTGGACAATGAGGAAAAAGATGATGTGGGGTGTTTTTCTGCATTGAGTTAAAGTTTTTTCAACTTGAGGAGTTCAGAGCGCTCTGGCAGAAATGCCAGGCACTTAGAGTGCAGAAACACGAGACGCGTCTCAACGCAAAAACCATGAGTAAAAAGCTTCATTCTTATTAAAACTATTACAAAAAGGTGCCTCCAGCTGCTGAAATGCTTTCTGTGTGATCAGGGCCTAACACTGTACCTCTCCTACTACTACCACTTGTTGTCAGTGCCATCCCAGAAGGCCCGCTTCTCAACCTAGCTCTGAGTTTTCTCTGTTCAGGGTGTTTAGGGGTCTCCCAGTGAAAACATGAGGCACATAAAAAAAAATCCCTTTACTCTTATTGAAAACAATCACAAAAAGTCTCCCCAAGCTGATAAAAAAACGCTCTGTCTTATGGGCCAAAGTCTGCTCTTCTGTAGTGCTTCCTAAGTTTAATTAGGGACCCAGTATGTTATTGGTAGGGCACAGATTAACTGGAGGAAGCTTTGACAGAAAACACACCTTGGATTTAAGATTCAGCTCAAGATTGCCACTGAGTCTTGTATCATGCTAACCAGCTGTCTTGCCGGCAGGAGTTGGCTTCCCGAAATATTTTGGTATCCCTGTAAAATAGATGTTTGGTTCTCAGTTCTCTATCTGCTGTGTTTATGTTCCAGGTGGAGGAAGGCAGCAAGGCAGCAGCTGTGAGTCTCCAGGTGGGAGACGAGCTTGTCAACATCAACGAGATTCCCCTGAGTGGCTACAGACAGGAGGCAATCTGCCTGGTGAAAGGCTCCCACAAGACCCTCAGTCTGGTTGTGAAAAGGTAGGTAACCAATCCCCGCTCCCCTCCCGCTGCCCTCTCCTCCTACATCTGCGGCTGTCACAAGTGCACCACCCCCCTCGGCCTCACAGGTCACTATGGAAACATTTCCAACAAACCCAGGTGACGGAGGATCCTGGCCCTCGCAGCTGTTTGTCTGCGTCATGCGTCTGTAGATGAACCTGCACTTTCAGGGATTTCTCAGCTGTCACTGTTGAGTTCTTGGTAGCTGGATGGTCCTGTTTTGCCAGAGTGAAGTCAACAGGAGGTCGTGGTTTGTGACAGTTTCTCATGAGCAAGTCAAAAGAAGGAAGATAGGTTGTGGCTAGGTGATATCATTGCTGTGTTAGATCCCACGCAGGCAGGTGTGGGGAGGACAAAGAAGGGGAAGTTATGATGCAAATGAGGCTATCTGGCACTGAGATTTTTTTATCAGTCAGTTGGTCCAACACCCTCTGTGATAAGGCATTTCTACTGTAGTCTGCATTGTTTTCTTACACCACACATCTCATTCATTGACCAAAGGACAGACTGCTGATGAACAGTAAGCCCACAATAAATGATTACACTCACTCTTCTTGCCATAGGCCAGGCGTTGTGACTTATTGACTCTGAGGTATTGTTAAGTATTCATATCTTGTTTAACTGATGAATCATTTGTCAACTTAGTCCTGGAGGCCTGCTTACAAATGACCTTGTTGTGTGTGAAACACTGGTCCCATTGTCTCTCTTTGCCGTGCGCATTTCTTTCTGTATTGTATCATATCATAACGTAAGCCCTGAACAAATCCTACTGTACAAGGAAGTCCATTCACCATTTATCTCTCTGCAAGGACGTGGCTGTGAGTCTCACTCATTGTTTTTTAATTCCCAGTACACATGTCTATTATAGGATCTGGAAACAAGAATGCAGTACTGTCTATAAGGATTTCTGTCTGTTTGATTACTTGTGTTATTGTGGGATAACTTACAGGCCCTGAAAAGATGCAGTATCAATCTGCTTCTCACTGTAAGCAACAGAGTCCTATGTAAACACGCTTTTCTGCCAAAGTGAGAAATGTTTGTGGATCGACCGACCAAACAACAAACTGACATACTGATAATATCTTTGACATATATTTTCCATATGACAAGAGATAACAGAACAATTAACCCTGGTATATTGGATTTGAACTTGGAAAATGTATTTTTTAATTTCACTGACTTGAAAAACACATTGCTGTAGCAGTTTAAATTCTTAACATTAATTTGTTAAGTATCTGTTACCTACTGTCACATCGTTTGTGCATAATCTAATTTGCTCTAATATGGCTGCTGTCATGCCAACAGACGTGTATTTCATTCAGTTTCCAATCACAAGAAGAGCCCACGAGTACGTAGGTAAACACTCAGCTGCCAGTTAATGAAGTAAACCTATTTAAAACTAATGTTGTTTAATGCTGCTGTAATGTAATAAATCCTGCCTTCATGAAGGTTATAATATTGGGATTTTTTTTTTTTTTTACTGTTGTGTGGTCATTTTGAAGGATGTAGCTTGTGGTGCTGTTAAACTAGGTTGTATCTAGGGCTGCCCCCGAATAAGAATTTTCCAAGTCATTTTCCTAGTCAACCAATAGTCATCATTTAGGGCCATTAGTCGACTAGTCTCCTGCATGTTTACAATATTAATGTAATTATTAAATGATATATTTTGGTGGTTTGAGTTGAAGGTGTGAGAAAGAATAGTATCAGTAACATTGTTAACACTGTGCTACATTACAGAGAAATACAAAACCGTACTAATGAACCTTCATTAATATAGGCCTATATTTTATCTACAAGTGCACGTCACACACTGAGCGAGCCGCCTGTTAATGACGCTGTGGGCTAATGGGCATGTAGCTACTTCCATGTTTCAGATGATACGTCATGTTTGTAGTCGACCAATGAAGATGAGCTTACATATCACCTTGGGTTTGTCCTTCACCTTCTCAAAATGATCCCACACTTTGGATTTCCTGCCCGACATGTTATTAACTAGCCTGTGGAATAACCGCAGGTACCAGCCCTGGAAATTAGGGGCCGTACACATGCCGCGTCTTCAACCACCTGGAAAACGCAAGGTCGGGCACTGGGTGCTACTCTTGTGCATTTTTTGTGCCAGCTTTCAAGGGCATGGTGGCAGGTTGTGTCTTGGGTTGCTAAGTAATTTTAACAAGCACTGTATAGCCTATTTACCTGAAATCCTGAGGGCAGAGCTGATCTTCTTCCAGGAGCTGTTTATAAGTGTGTAGGCCTATCGACCGTGGGACAGATGTAAAGCTCTGAGTAGCCCTGGACTAACATGATCAACTGTACTGACAGTCCACTCCTTTGGTATCAGTGAGAGTTGGCTCGATAACAGAAACACCTCACTGTATGATACAATATGATTCAGCAGCAAAACATCCTCCAAAATGATCCTACAGTTCAATAAACACCTCTTTAAAACAAAACTGCATTAGTTTGAGCTCAGTGTACCTAATAAACTGGCAACTGATGAATGAATTCACAAAAAATGGATTGCGGCTGCTGATAGTGCCAGAAATTGTGCATCACTTGCAGCAGCTCTCTGCCCCGTCTCAAGGTCCGGTTCACAAAAGACATTGCGCTGATGTTGTTACAGCAAAAACACGGCCATAAAGTTTTGCAGCTGAGTGTTATTTACCCTCTTTTGCTCCTAACTGCAGTTATTCATGTGGCAACCTGTATCTGCACATACGTTCAGTCTTTATCAAAACATGATTCTGCTTCAAAATATATGCTCACGAGTAGCACACCTGGCATGACGATGCCTTCGCCTAAATATAATCATTGCTGCCATGATCACTGGAAGTCTGGCTGTGACACCCCTCATAAATGCGCTTCACTTACCACCAACTCTCTAAAGACGCTAATAAACTCACTGTAACTGCGTGTGGTATTAGCACTGACCTGCAGTGAGGCTCATTTGTATGGAAAGAGGTCAGTGTTGCACCAAATGTATACATATTACCTGATTTAAATACGTGCAAATTGGGGCGCCCACTAGCTGAGAGCAGGCACCTCATGCACAAAGGCTGTGTCGTTGCTGCAACTGCAGGTTCGATTGCAACCCACAGCACTTTGCTACATGTCATTACCCCCTCTCTCTCCCCCTTTCATGCTATAGCTGTCCTATCAGATAAAGGAAAAAAAAACATAAAACAAAACATGCAAATTAGTCCCGTCATAATAATTATGTTATTGACTTATCGAGGTCAGCAAATGTATCGCTGTATCGCTGTATCATGTCCATATGTTGTACGATATTACCCTGATATTTACATGCATGTTTATTTACATAAGAATGTCGCCAACGTGATGCCAGAATAAACAGCAGGGTTTCCCTGGGACAGTTTTAAGACATGGGCGCAAGTGTTTTTTTACTTAAAGAATGCAGAGTTTTATTTATTTAGGATATTTATGAGGATATTTAATTATTTTTTTACATTTTAGATTTAGTGTATCAATCGTCTTAAGAATTAAAAGTTCATTGCTCTTTGAAAGGGTGTACTGACATTACCACGCTATTGTATTATCATATCCGTGTAGTGTCATCACAACTTACCTCGAAGAATAACGATATGATCATTGAAATGACATTAAGGGCATACAATTTAAGATTTTTATTAAAAGATAAATACACAGCTGGTACCAGTGTATCAATACTGCAGAAAATGAGTATGGAAACTGTTTCAAATATTCAGAATTGATATGTTTTGATAAATCCATATTATCGACAACCCTATATCGGTGGCATAAAATGGTCTTAAAATGACAATACTATCAGTTATTGCAAATAATTTTGCTATTTCACCATTTGTGGGTTCTTTGGGAACCAAACGGTTTCTTTTTGTCTTACTTGTGCAGGTTTAGCAGCTGGAAAAGCCGCACATTCCTTTCATGAACTTGACCTTGAGTGTAGTTTGTTTCTCTTGTCTGATTCTATCTCAGATGGCAAGAGAGAAAATAGACAGTCAACTGAAAATTGACCTACAAGCAGCACCAGTGGTACAAAATATTCCCACAGTGTCTTGTATCATGGCTAATCACTAGCTGATTCAGGGCAGCAACATGTATTTTTGGTTTTGAAACGGGGGGATAATAGCAAGTAAATACTGTACAGATTGAACAGAGGAGCAGGAGGCCTGACTGAAGGATATGGGTATTGTCATTTTGGTATGTTTGTAATTTTAAATGGAGAAAGACATTTCCTTACAAGGTCTAGTCTCATTGTTCATGTTGCATTTTCCGGACTTTCATTCACAGGGGACTCTTTCTTCCTCCTGCTCGTCTTTGTTAAAGAATTCAGTTTGTGCTGACCGTCTCAAATAGCATCTCCAGTCAGTCATTTCCCAAGACCACAATAACAAGTGTGTCTGATTTAGAGGACAGTAAAGCAGAGGTTCAGTTGCAGCCCCATTTCGTCTTTGTATTCAGCTGCAGTGTGCATGCTGTGTGGAACGTTGATGTCGGGGTTAGGAGATTTTTTACAGTAGAGTATTTCACATCTGTACCTATTCAGAGCCCTGATGTTTGACTTTAGCTTGATCTATGCCTGAGCATGCCGGTGTCAGCAGCCAAACACCTTTCCCTTTATCTCAGGGATAATGTTGGATAGTTGAACGAGGATCAGGAAGCTGTCAGAACCTGCTCCTGTCTACAGGTGTGGTCTCTTTACAGATAGCACAAGGGAGGAGCTTGACGTAGCTGTTGTGTATTTTGCATGTAGTGACTAATGTGAGACTGTTGGTGTAGTGTCATTAGGAGAAGGGGCAGGGGAGAGGCTTCACACACGTCACATTGGCAACAGAAAGGTGTGGTTATCTGTGGGAAAGCATCTCGGCCTCTTTGCACATGCCTCGACAAAACTGCTGTACACTCTGTGCCTCAACTCCAGTTTGTCAAACGAGGAAATCTTTCAAGTCTAACAGATAGTTTTACATTTTAAATATCACTCTGTC